GGGGGGCGCTGACCCGGATGTTCACTCCTGGGCACCCGGGGAAGTGGAAGCGCCGGGCCCTGCTGCGGGGGGAGAGCCACAGACGCCGGGACCGGGACCGCTGCCGCCGCCGCCACCATGGTAAAGGCCGACGCCGCTCTCCCCCGCCGCAGGCTCTGCCGCCGCGCGCCTCCCCGCCCCCTCGCCCCGCCCCGGCCTGTGTGGGGTGGGCTTCCCCGGGTGGGGGAGGGGCTGGGTTCCGGACCCCGAGTGGACACCGTCTCTGCGCGCTCGGCGAGGGCCGGTGGGCCCCGGAGGCTCGAGTGCGCAGCGACCCTGCCTCCTCGCGAGCCCCCACCGCGGGCTCCAAGCTCTCCACTCCCCCTGCGCCTTCGGGTCCAGGCCAGTCTCCACCGTAGCTCGGACTAGACCCTCCGGGACCCGTGGTCCAGCCCAGGCACCCCCTCCCGAGACCCAGACTTGGTGCCCCAGCATCGTCTCCATGGCCCGGGCGAGGTCCCCTCCCCCGCGTGTCTACAGCCGGCCTAGGCCGTGGTTTCTCTTCCCCGGGGCCCGAGCTAGACTCTCCTCCCCTGGTCCAGGCCAGGCCTGGCCGCTGCCCTCCCGGCTTCTCCGAGGCCTCATGCGACCCTCGTTCCCCGCCTCTTGAGTGGCCTCAGTCTAGATTTATTTCCGCTTTCCTCCAAGGCTTCAAACCTGGTTTTTCGTCCTTGCTTTTAGTTTGGACAACCCTCCCACCTCCACCCTGACCCCCCTCCACCCCAAGATCCCCTTCCCTGGACTTTCACCACTCGCGGCGTCCGCGTCCCCGTGCGTCCGCCCTGGGCTTCCTCTCCACCAGCCCGTGCTCCCTGCCCCCGACCCTTGGCACCGGGGCCAGCCTTTGCCGCTCCGAGAAGTCTGGGCAGGGTGGTCCCGGGGCTGTGTGGTCTCGGGTGAAGGTTGCCCCTTCGGGAAGCCGCCGCGGAGCGGGTGAGGGGAGGGCGGGCCCTTCCGTGGCCGGCCGACGCCTGTGTGCGCCTGGTGTCTGTGTGCGCCTGGTGCGGCGCTTGCGGGGTGCCCTGCGGAGTGGCAGGCGGAGAAGGGTGGGGCAGGGACTGGGATGAACGCACAATCGCCCTTGTGCGGCCGCCGCCCTTTGGGGGGACCTGCAGGCCCCGAGTACAACATATGGCCTGGACACGATGCACCCCAGCAGGCGCAGTCTCCCGTTTCCCCTGAACTGTCAGCTCGTGAGGGTTGGAACTGCTGATTATGGAGGTGCCCCTGACCAGGTGAGGCGGACTTGAGGGAGAGAGCTAGCTCTCTGCGTGCGTGGTGTTTGTTTGGGTAATGACGGCATGTGCGCCCAGGGCCTCTCCACTGCCCTGGGTTTCACACGGCCCCCACGCGTGTGCTTTCTGCCCTTTGAAACATCCCGGATTGCAGACCTAGCACTGAGTTGGAGGGGCCGGGGCATCTGCTTCTTACTGGGCATGGAACTTAAGAGGGGACTGATGCGCCCACCTGCCCCTCCACCCAGGCAGGCAGATGTTTGCTCGTGGACTTTGGGCTCCGAAGGGTTTTGATGATTTTGGTTCCCTGTTTAGTGAAAGGATGTCTCTGCTGAACCCGGCTGACTAATTCAGATTGGTTAGGCTTTTTTTCTTGATGCCTTCCTGTATATTGATTTAAGAAAGTGGTTCATGCTGCATTCTCTTCTCTGGTGCTAGCACAGCAGGGGAACTGGCTGCAGAGGTGTGGCCCTGCCCCAGGCCTGGGTGGAGAAGCCTGCTTCAGGGTAGTTGGGACTTCATAAGCTGACTGAAATTTTATGACTACCTTGCAGGGGCGAAAGCAGGGGAAGGTGAAGGCGGGGCTGGAGGGGCTCTCCGTAGCATACCTGATGTGGAGGGGCTCCTTGCTCTGGGTTGATTCTCTAGATGGGCTGGGAAAATGCCCATCAGAGCCAGGGCATGATGCACCTGGCTTCTTACTGTCCCGTGCTTGGTCTTTTTGAAAGGATGGTGGAAGGAAGGGCCAGAAGAAAAGGGCTAGCATGTCTCCAGGCACTGTGGCGTGTGCTTCACCGGTTCAGATTCGCTTAATGCGCACAGAGCCCTTTGGAGGTAGTTGCTCCCATTTTACAGGTGAAGAAGCTGAGGCTCTGGGTATTGCTCAGTTCCACACTGGAAAGACTCTAAACTTTGTTTCAGACTGCTTACCTGTCGGAAGATGTAAATGACACTTTTAGGAACATAATAAAGGGGTATCTGGAAATGGCAAGGCAGGAGTAGTACTTATTGTCTGTCACTTCCGTGCAGGATCCTTTGGTGGGGACCTTGTTTCACAGAGAAGTAGCAGGATGATGACACAGGCATATTTATCGGGGGCCTGCACGCGAGCGCTTTGAGCACAGGGTTCTGATTTATCTTCCATAGCTGTGCCCTGGGCCTGGATCAGCCCTGACACTGAGGGGAAGTGGCTTGGAGGACTCTTCCGGGGAGTCTGTTAGCTATCTGGATCTCATCCTGGTTTTCTCAGCCTCTCCTAAGCTTACATGCAGTTTTTTGCTTATTAGGAAATTGCCCCCTGCTTGAAGATTCTGGTAAGCTGGTGTAGACAGTTGGAAGGTGGCGGTGTGGGTAGCGTCATCTGTAGCAGTGTCAAGAACTCTGTGATGATTGTTCTCCGTATGTGTGATGGTAGAGAAAACAGATCTGTTACCGTGGAAGCAATAGTGACTTGAGAATCTATGATGCTCTTGACTTGGAGTAAAATCCAGGATTTTTGTTGGCATCAGTTAAAAATGCAAAGAAGAGTGTGGAATTTATTTGCATTCCCATAGCAGGTAATCATCCTACTCTGTGTGTAAATGCAGACTTCTAACAGGAATCTCCTTCAACTTGGTGTTGGATTCTGGTGCTGGAATCCAGGCACCTCCCCAGCTCACAGATGGCTTTGCCCTGACTGGAACTGATGGAAGTTGTCATATTGTTACAGGGTGAAACTGTGTAGTTGACATAATGTGTCTTCACTGGCCTCCTGGGGTGGGAGAGGTAGGTGGCTCAGCCCAGACCCTAGTTCATTGAGGCCCAACTAGCCTCCGGTGGAAAACTCTGGAGAGAAGTAGCCAGCAGTTGACAGCTTGATTAAGGTGATAAGCGAGACCTTTAAAAGCAGATGTATCTGTTTATAACTCGAAGTTCCACACTTTACCTTCCATGGAGGAGGGAAAAGGATAGCTGATGGACAGGGAAGCAGGGCAGGGCAGGTGCATGCCCGTCGAGACTCTGCTTCCCAGGCTGCAAACTCGCTGGCCCCAGTGTGTGTGCTAAGTGCCCTCTGCTGCTGTGCGTGCCAGGGCTGCAGGGATGAGCAAGACAGAGATGAGTCCACACGCTCTCCCCCCTTAGGTGTTGGGGAGGAGGCACCTGGCACTTTCCCTGCAGTTTGAGAAGGAAAAGCCATTCTCACCACGACTGCGAGCGTTCTGGCATGAGCGGTGGCAGGAGATGAGAGGAAGTTGGGGCTTGTGCCAGGTGTCACCCCAGAGCTGTGGTATGTGTCTGCCATCACCGTGGAAGGAACTGCGCGCATGCACAGTCTGCTCTGCAGCACACAAGCTCGCTCACCCGGGAATGAAACTTGGGGGCGCGATGGAAATCCTGTCCTTCTGGCCCGGCAGCCACCACTGACCGAGATCTGCTGTGATCGGGAAATGGTGCTTAGGTTTTACCGCGTTTCCCTGTTCAACTTCCAGGAGCCTGACGAGGCTGAGTGATGGTGTGGCTCTCACATCTGCGTCCACCTGAGACTTACTGTCAGTGAGCTGGAGACTTACTGTCAGTGAGCAGTAGGACCCCAGAGTGTGGACCCTGGGCCTGCTTCTCTGTATTGCAGAGCCCACCCTTGAGAGGGGGTAGAGGCTGAGAGGATAAATAACCCACGTTCAAACCAGATAGAACAATGGCTATCCAGACAAACCTGGGCTTTCCAGATGAACCTTTCAGAAAGGGGACTCAGGGTTAGCACCAGCCGCGTGCCCCGCTGAGTGCGTGAGACTGCTGAACCCTCCCGCCAACAGCCCGGCCAGGGCCCACCCTCCGCAGAAGGGCTGGCGAGCGGAGCCGGCTTCCTTGGCATAGTAGCAGAGCCTCCCCTGGAGGCGCTTGCGAGGGCTAAGCGAGATAAGATGTGTGAATGTTTTGAACAGCACTTCGTGATTGTGTAAATAGTAGCGACTGGTACTGCCACGTTTCACAGGTGAGGCTCAGTGGGCGTGTGGGCCTGTGTCGTGCAGGCCTCATTGCTCTTCCTGCCTGCCGAAGGCTTGTTGGAAGTTTCCTTGGCTTTGGACAGTGCCTTGAATGAAGAACGCGCCTAATAGAGCATTAAGCTCTCCATCCCACAAAAGACAAGGCTCTGGCGTGGCGTGTCGGGTCCACTCAGTACCTGTTGGGTTCCCTTTTGGGCGGGGGTTCTTGGCTTTCTTCCGGCTTTGGCGGGGGAGGGGTTCGTTTTTTTTGGGTTTTGGGGGAGGGGACCTTGTCTGTTCCGTTCCTGTTAACCACCCGCCCTGGCTGCCTGGCGCTTAGCAGGTGCTTCATTAGCACCAGGAGGGAGTTGTGAGGTTCGAGGTGACTGCCTTCTGTTTGCCATCTGCTCCACAGAACTTGGCTTTGGAGTTGGGCAGTTCTGGGTGACCTTAAGTGAGGTCGGTGGGTGCTACAGGCATCTTGGGAGAAAGGAGCTTGTAGTGTATTTAATCCAGTGCTTGCTGCCCAGTGTGACTGATTCTGCATAGCAGAGAGTGAGGGGCACAGACGGCACATCCCTGTCCTTTCCTCCAGAAGGGAGGCAGGATGAGTCCAGGAAGTTAGATGCAGCCAGAAGTAGTGATAGAAATGACTGGCAAGGACCCCGTGTCCACCCATCAAATTGGCTGCAGACCATGCTAGCGCAGTGGTTAAGAGAGCGAGGGGAAGCTTGTCCAGGCACAGAGGCCGGGGGTCTGGGGAGCTGTCAAGGGCAGACCATTCCAGGTAGGGGCCTGGAACTAAAGCAAAGTCAGGAGTGGGGTTGGTTTTGTGAGCTCCCGGATCTGGCTGGAGCAGGCAGAGCGAGTTGGCAGCCTCTGA